ATATATAGGAATGTCCTTAATCTGTTAAAAGATGTCTACACAACAAAGCAACACAAACCCGATAGCAGACATTTTGGGAAATGTTGAAGCCTTTTCCTTTGGTTTAGGAAAAAGACCAGAATGCTTGTTATCATTACCGCTATTTCACATTGTGAAAGGTTCCAGCTAGTAATGAAGAAGAAATGAAACAGATCAGAAAGGAGGAAATAATCATTATTCAAATATGATAGATTATATACATTTTAAAAATCCAAAATAATTACAGATAGGTTAGTAGAGATTAGGAAAGTATCTGGAAATAAGGTCTGTTCAAAAATCAATTTATATATGTATGTGTATTTATATATATATATATGTGTGTGTGTATATATATATGTGTATATATACACATATATATGATAAAGAGAAAATAAAACAAAATATACCATTTCCAGTATTTTAAAAAAATTCACATATATATCAGCAGATCTAATAAAGGATGTATAAGACTTCTGTTCTTAAAATTATAAAACATTAAGAGACATTTTTAAATACCTGAAATAATTGGGGAGATAACAATATATTCATGAATAGGAAGATAGTGTTGTATAGCTATCAGTACTCCCTAATATGATCTATAGATTTAGTACAATTCCAATAAAATTCCCAATGGTGTGTGTGTGTGTGTGTGTGTGTGTGTGTGTAATTTGATAATCTGACTCTAAAATAATAAAAAAATAAAATTCACATGGAAATACAAAGGGCCAAGAATAAACACATTTTTTAAGAAGAAGATAAGAGAGCTTGCCCCATTGGATATCAAAACTTATTCTGAAGCTCCTTTAAGATAGTGTGTCATTAGCCCTGGCTGGTATGGCTCAGTTGATTGGGCATCATCCCATATGGAAAGGTTGCTGGTTTGATTTCTGCTCAGGGCACATGCCCTAGTTGTGGGCTCAGTCCCTTTGTTTCTCCCTTTCCCTTCTTCTCTCTAAAAATCAATTTTTTAAAAATTTAAAAGATAGCATGTCATTAGCTCAAGGTAGACAGACAGATGGAATACTATAGGGCTTCAAAATGGATGTAAAAATAGATAAAAACTTGATTTATGACAAAAGTGTCACAGTAGAGCCATAGAGAAAGAATACCCTTTTCAATAAGTGATGCTGAAGTAATATATAAGAAAGTTGACTGCTGCCTCACACCATTTGCAAAAATTAATTCCACATCAATTATAGGTTGAAAGTACAAGGCAAAACAAAGCTAAGAGATATGGAATATCATATATGTGATCTTATAGAAAATGATTTTAAAACCTATGCTTTCATATTTTGAAAAAGGATTGATAAATTCCACCATATTGAGTGTAAAAACCTGTTCATTAAAAGACATTAAGAGAGTGAAATAGCAAGTGACACAAGAGAAGATAAGTTGCGCCCTAGCCGGTTTGCTCAGTGGATAGAGCGTCAGCCTGCAAGCTAAAGGGTCCTGGGTTCAATTCTGGTCAAGGGCACATGCCCGGGTTGCAGGCGCTATCTCCAGTGTGGGGCCTGCAGGAGGCAGCTAATTAATGATTCTCTTTCATAATTGATGTTTTTATTTCTCCCTCTCCCTCTCTGATATATATATAAAGAAAAGATAGTCGCATCAAAGATAACACCTTAGAATGGCTCATATCTACTGTTTCCATAAATTAGCCCTAACACAACAAATGATAAATAGAAAGTGGGCTAGAGAATTGAACAGGCATTTCTCAGAAAAAAATCCAGTAAGATCAATAAACATGAAAAGGCACTTAAATTCATTTGTAATTGGGAAAATTAAAACTACAATAAGTTATCACTACATACAAGAATAGGTAGAATTTTAAAATGGGCAGTATCAAGTGCTGTGAGGATGTGGAGCGGCAGCAGCCTCGTACTCAGCTGGAAGAGTGTACAGTGATACAGTCACTTTTGGAACAGTAACATCATAGTGGGCTCAAGTTGGAAAAAACTCACATCAACATTAGAAGGAGTAAATGTGGTGTCATCATATCGTGGACTATTTATTACACAACATTAATTAAAAGAGAACATCCTGTATACAAAGCAACATGAATGAATGGTATGAGTACAATGTTGAATAAAAAGGGCAAGACATAAAATAATAATGCTTATTTGATTATACTTACATAAGCTTCAAAAAGCAAACAAAACTATAATATTTAGAGTTATCTGCTTAAGTATAAAGAAGAACAAGGAAATGCTTATAAAAGTCAGAATAATGGTTATTTGGGAAAGAAGTGTGATTGACAAGGGAACCAGAGTGGGAGGGTTCTGGGGTCCTGGCTATGTCTCATTTCTTCTGTGGGGTTGCATGAGTGTTTGCTGAAATCACTAAAATGTACAATTTTGTATACTGTTTTGTGTTTTATATTGTAGAATTTAAAAATTTTTTTGATGTAGAGAGAATAATGAACAAACAGCTCAGAGGAGACAAATTTCATACAAAAGTTTGTTTTCAAAGAATGTTGATAAGTAACACTTCAGTACAATTAGATTTATCTAAAACTTTTCACTTGGTACCCATTAAAGCTCAATAAGTAATAAATTACTTCCTTCAGTAACCATTGTTTACCAGAGGTAAATATAGGCAGTCCTCTCTTTGCATGATAGAGTGGGACTCCCCCCTACCCCCCCAAAAAAATGACCATACAAACTAAAACCATGCAAAAATTAGTTTAGTAATCAATGGGGAAAATTACTGTTGTTCCATGGTCTTTTAAAAAAGTTGTCACAACATTAAACTCTGCTATGTTGGTTATAAATGTATAGAGAAATAAAAAACTTTAATTAACAAAACTTTAATTTAGTCTAATGTAATATAAAACATTAGAAACGGAATTAAAGTGCTTTATTTGTAAAAAATTTATCAAGAGTACTTTGAACGGTGCTTTCTTTGCCTTTTATAACAGAACAGCTAGCAGAGTGAGCATCTTTTCTGCGCCTTGGCAAATTGTCTTACTCCTTTCTACTAAATGTAGACCAGCTTTCAACATTTTGTTCTTTGCACTTTCAATGTGGTGAAATATCTCCGAGTCCCATTTAATGTGAAGTTGTTTTCTGGCATCATTTCCTCTGGGACATCTTCTTGTCAGAACTACTTTCCCTGATTATATCAATAAGTTTGACTTCACCAATTTCTTTGACTACATATCTAGAGCATGGGTCCTCAAACTTTTAAAACAGGGGGCCAGTTCACTGTCCCTCAGACCGTTGGAGGGCCGGACTATAGTTTAAAAAAAAAAAACTATGAACAAATTCCTATGCATACTGCACATATCTTATTTTGAAGTAAAAAAGCAAAATGGGAACAAATACAATATTTGTATTTGCATGTGGCCCCCGGGCCGTAGTTTGAGGACCCCTGATCTAGAGTCTCAAATAGAGGCAGTGGCAACATTTTTATAATCAGTTATTTCTTCCATTCTACTGACATTCAATTTTAATTTCATTATTTTTAACATCATTTTTTGTTTCTTTGCTGCACCTTTATCTTTGTTGGCCATTTCCCTTTCAATTACCCATTTTGTAAAATTTCACATGGGTTTATCCCAGCTATATGCTTTGCTGTCCATAGGCTGATTGAAAAGCAGATGAAGAATAACCAATCACCAATCTGCTCTGAAAAGAAGTGACTTGGTTGGTCACTGATGATGATGTACATCTCTTATTAACATAGCAATGTGTGGACTCAATTCCTGCAAAATAGTTGTATTTATGCAGTTATAGTTAATGTACTGTGGTGAGTGAAATTGGAACTAGGTGGATGGGGGATTTGTACGACCATTGAAATGTCTGCATATGGGAAGTCTGGGAAGTGAGGACTGACCGAAATTCAAAAAGGTTGAACTCTTTGATTTATTAGTTTGAGGGTGTATGACTACTTGGACTAGTCGATCTCTGAGCTGTTGAACACCTGATACATTTTATGTATCTATGTAAGTGATGTCCAAACCTATAGAGAATTTTTATGAGTTTATTTGAGTCAAACTGATGACAATTGCCAAGAAGCAAAATCTCAATGGATTGAGAAAATGCTCCAGAGAATGGCAGTTTTGCAGCTTATTTTATACATTACAGTCTAAGGAGGAGACACAAGGCTGGGGGGTTACATGTAATCCATTGGTGGTAGATTAATAAGGAAGAAGCAAAGTGGGGGGGATCTCTGAGATTGGATAGAGTAAAATGGATAAACATTTCTTTTATGTTGATGAGTATAGGATAGTTAACAATGAACACTTACAGCACATTGAGTTGGTTTTGGGGCAACAAGGTAACAGTGAGTAGTTGTGTGGATTCCAGAGGAGTCTGGAAAAAGGGGAGTACTCTGACATTCCAAATGTGTTATCTTGGATCCAAAAAGACAATAGAAAGGCTCAGTTAAGGTAAAGATTGACTTTTGTCAAGGAAAATACAGGCCTAGGACTTGACCACCCACCATGACTCACTTTTAGTTAGGAAGTTTTCATTTCAGATCATGCTATGGTTACTTTAGGTCTCTGGTTTGTAGGGCCTGCCATGCAGGCCTCCCCTGAGCTTATTAGGTTTAGTATGTGGCCCCTTTTTCTTCCACATATGGAAATGCAAATTTGATACTAACTTTCCAGCTTCTTTAATCCTTTTAGGCACTTATTTAGGGAGAACCTTTCATACCAATTCTGTAGAACAAAATCCCTAGTTGTAATAAGTAAAGTCAACTGTTTTAGGAGTGTAGTAGTGATGGTGATTATGAAATCACTGTGAAGCAACTGACTTTGAAAGCAAGGGTCCCCCCTCCCCCAATGTTTTATATAATGTTGACATTCTAATAGTTGAAGATGAAAGGTTGACAAATGGAGTATGATTCATTTAGTCAGGTGATTCTATTTTCATTGTCCTATACTGGCAGATGTTTTATTACTAAATGTGAAAGATAAGGTCTTGCTCTGTGTTGGTTCCAGGTGAATAATGTTCACTCACTGTTTGATCTTTCTACAGGTGAACTGGCACGGAGGTTGAGCTCAACATGCCATTAGTGAAAAGAAATATCGATCCTAGGCACTTGTGCCACACAGCACTGCCCAGAGGCATTAAGAATGAACTAGAATGTGTAACCAATATTTCCTTGGCAAATATAATTAGACAACTAAGTAGCCTAAGTAAGTGTTTTTATATCAATTAAAACTATTACTTCCAAACCAGAATATTATGCTTTAGAGTATTAAGATGTTCTTGTGATTAATTGAGGGTGAGAGGGAGATGTTAGGTGAAAATACAGTGTTATCCTGAAAAAAGTTGTCATTTTAAGTAAAATTAATGAGCTTTAAAATAATCTCTTCTGTGTGTTTCCTCTGGGAAAGGGAAATAAGGACAGAATCTTTAGGAACATAATCACATGATGGATAAGAATTACTGAGATTGTTTTTAAAATACGATTTTATCTATGAAAGGTAGAGCCAGAATTATATTTCTGCTTGTTATTGCTATTTACTTTTTTAGAGGCTTAAACTGTTCTGAGACACTAGTGTCTCTCTTTACATATATTTTATTAGCCTAGGGAAATATTTTTAATTATCAAATATCTACAGGTGAAAAGTAGGGGGTAGGCACTACTCAGTGGATTGGTTAGTCAAATTTGAGTTGTTTAAAAGGATATTAGGATACAGTCAAGAGTCTGATATGCAGGATGATGTGAAAATAGCAAGTGAACCTGGCCTCTGACAGACAAAAGGCAAGCGGATTGGCCAGCTAATAAAAGGCAATGGACAGGACTTGTAGGGGAGGAGGAGATAGGCAGTGTGTTCCCATTGTAAGATTACAGAACAGAGCTACTAGGTGAAGGAATTAAATTTAGAATAGTGGGAAATTATTTAATATTAGAAGATTGAAAAATAAATCCAGGCTGTCTTTTGAATTGAAGGATTAGCTTTATATTAAGACATTTATATTTCATTTTAAAGATAAAACAAGGTGTTCTTGGCCTAGAAATATTCTCTAAATGGTCTTAGATTTATCTTCACATTTCTACCCTCCCACATAGATTGTCCCCACAGGCAGGATTGGCTCTTCTTTTCTTTTCCTTTTAGCCTTTTATTTTTTAATTTTTACAATTGAGTACTTAGCACAAGATAAAAAGAGGTTGTTAATCTAATTTCGTTCAAGTGAGAGGCTTTGAAGATACACACATGTAGCTAGAACAACATAAAAATGCCAACTTTATCAGGATAGCACCTTTAAATATTAAATTGTTGGGTATTTATCTCTGATCACATTTCAGTGGTTCTCAACCTTCCTAGTGCCACGACCCTTGAATACAGTTCCTCATGTTGTGGTGACCCCCAACCATAAAATTATTTTCCTTGCTAACTGTAATTTTGCTACTGTTATGAATCATAATGTAAATATCTGATGTGCAGGATGTATTTTCATTGTTCGTGACCCACAGATTGAGAACCGCTGCATTAAATTACGTGGTATATGCTTCATTTTTGTTTAGGTAAATATGCTGAAGATATATTTGGAGAATTATTCAATGAAGCACATAGTTTTTCCTTCAGAGTTAACTCACTACAAGAACGTGTGGACCGTTTATCTGTCAGTGTTACACAGCTTGACCCTAAAGAAGAAGAATGTAAGTTTATTTATATATTTTCTTTCACATATATTTTAGGTTAGGTGAGATAAGTGAAATATTTAAGAACAGTATTAAACATGAATTTATTACAAATCTTTTCTGTACATGTAATAATTGTGGATCAGCTATAAATGCCATTAGCATGACTTTCCTGGTTTCATTTCTACTTTTTTTTAAATCTCTTCTTTTTATATACTAAAATAACTCAAGTTTTTTTTAAATATATTTTATTGATTTTTTACAGAAAGGAAAGGAGAGAGATAGAGATAGAGAGTTAGAAACATCGATGAGAGAAACATCGATCAGCTGCCTCCTGCATATCCCCCACTGGGGATGTGCACGCAACCCAGGTACATGCCCTTGACCGGGATCGAACCTGGGACCTTTCAGTCCGCAGGCTGACGCTCTATCCACTGAGCCAAACCGGTTTCAGCATAACTCAAGTTTTTGACATAAGAATAACTTAGCCAGATTTTTCCTCCATTCTCTATCTTTCCTTACTTACAATTTATTTGTATACATTTGCTTCAGAAATAACAATTATTTTAAATTTACTTGAAATTGATTCTATACAACTGTAATTTCTTTAAATATGCTATTTATGTGAACATATATTAAATTGCTAAGATCTGATCTAGTTATTTGAATGTTACTTCCCACTTTAATGATTTCAAAAAACCCCACACAAATTGCTAGTATGTAGGACAAAAATGTTCTATACTGAGTATTAAACCAGAGATATCAGGCAAAAAGAAAGTAAGTAGATAATAACAAAAAAAACAAACACACAAAACCCCACATTGCAGGCTAAACTAATGTTAGAAACTTAGTGATAAAACAACATTTCATGCCTTGATAGAATACATTGACTGTTGATGTTTCTCAAACTCCTTCCTGTTTGTTTGTTTTTTAACATATAGAAATGGAACTATTAAGGATATAATTTTCACTTATCCTGGAGTTATTTAATATGAATGTCTTATAACTGTTTCTTCAAAAAATGTGTTTTTGTTGAATAACATTTTTAGTATTTAAGAGATCTAAACTTGAACAATAAGTTGTATTAAAAGCTATCACTGGACAAAAGCAAAAAACAAAATGTAATAATGGATGTCTTAGTGATTAAACCAATATGTTTGACATAACCTAATTTAGTGTCTTAATGAGAGGCAAATACTATGCTAAGTTTCTACTGCTTTCAGAAATATAAACGCATATGTCTGGTTGTGAACAAAAACAAAACAGCACTTTTAAAAAATGTTTTTATTGATTTTTAAAGAGAGAGGCTGGGAGAGGGATATATATATAAAGAAATATCAATGAGATTGAAACATCAATCGGCTGCCTCTTGCATGCTCCCTACTGGGGATCGAGCCCACAACCCAGAAATGTGCTCTGACCAGAAATCAAATCGGGGACCTCTTGGTTCATGAGTTGATGTTCAACCAATGAGCCAACTGGCTGGACACCTTTTTTTTCTTTACAGTTTTATTGAGATATATTTCATACACCCTACCATGAGCCCATCTAAAGTTAAATTGTACAGTTCAGTGGACTTGAGCATATTCAGAGTTATGCACCTATCACCACAATCAATTTTAGAGCACTGCATCATTCGATAAAGAAATCCTAGACCCATTAGTAGTCATTCTCCATCTCCCCTTCTCCCCAGCATGTTGCAATCATTAATCCGTTTTTTGTCTCTATGGATTGGCCTGTTCTAGACATTTCATATGAGTGGGATCATACAATACGAGGTGTTTGGGGACTGGCTTCTTTCACTTAGCATAATATTTTCAGTATCTATTCATGTAGAATGTATTTGCATTTCCCTGATGACTAACGATGTTGAGCATCTTTTCATAGGCTATATGCCATTTAGAGATAAGACACTCAGCAAAAAGTGGTAAAGCTTGGACTTAAACTCAGGGTTTAAATGACTTATCAGCAACTTGTATATCATTTTTTTGAAAAATGTCTACTCAGATCCTTGTACCAGTTTTAAATTGGCTTATTTTTCTTTTTATTGTTGGGTTATAAGAATTCTATGTATATTCTAGATCCAAGAACCTTGTCAGATAATATGATATGCAAATATTTCTCCTATTGTTTGAGTTGTTTTTCTTGTTATCCTTTAAAGCATATACTCATATTTCTTGAAATTCTTAAAATTATTGCTAGTAGTGAAGAAATATTTTATGGCCGTACTTGAAATATATCATTTATATCCAAAATTTCTTTTTTAAATAACTTAAACATTTAATATGCCCTCTAATAATACAGAGATACATAGGTACTTTTTATATTAATGGAACTAAAAATTAATATTTATTTTCAGTACTATTAAATTTTAACAAATACAGTATCTTAGCACTCCTATTAAAATTGAAAATGAAAATACAGATACCAATAAATAACTTAAGATGTGTTTAAGTTATTTATAGGTATTTAAGCTAGACAAAAAGTCTAGCGTGCCCTGGCGGGGTTGCTCAGGTGGTTAGAGTAGCCTTCCGTACACCAAAAAAAGGTTTTGGGTTCGATTCCTGGTCAGGGCTCGTGCCTGGTTTGCAAGCTCAATCCCCAGTTGGGGCATCTATGGGAGGCAGCTAGTCAGTGTTTCTCTCTCCAATTGATGTTTCTCTCTCTCTCTCTCTCTTTCTCTCTCTCTCTCTCTCTCAAACCAATGGGCATATATCCTCAGGTGAGGATTAAAAAAAAATAGCATGCTAACAACTATCAGAATTGTTTATAATTTCCTTTAAAATAATGTGGAGCATTGTTTGAATTGAGAATCTAAAAGCTGAACTATTTAATAGAAATTGTTTTGGGGATATTGGATTGAAGGGATTTTCAGTTGTTTAACCTAGATTTTTTAACTCAGTTCGAACAAAATAACATTATGAATATAATATGAAATTGTAGAGTATAATATCAATATTTTTTTGTTCTTTAAATTACCATTAAATACATTGTTGACCTCTTATAGAGAGGTCAACAGAGTATTTAGCCCAGACTGCTACTGATAACTAAGTAATTCCTTCAGTGTTATTGGTATAAACTAAATAAAACTAAAAAAGGGTGATGGGGAAAGGGGGTTATAGAAAAAAAGAAGAGAATGTGTGTTGGGGGCAAGTAGAGAAAAGAAAGAGGTGTATTTGTTGGGAAATATAGATATGCTTCAGGTGTCATTAGAGCATTCTGATCCTTAGAAATCAAAGGTTGTATTAAAACCCATCTGACTGGGGAAATTAGGCACACAGTGAAATGGGATATAATGATAGAACATTTAAAATACAGTTCCTGATTCATAAGCCACTACAGTTACAACCTCCTGAGCCATGCTGACTTTTAAACAAATATAGTATGTGAATTTATTCTTATGTTAAATCATCTTGGGAAAATAAGCAAATACATTGTTGATTTTTTTTTTTTAGTGTCTTTGCAAGATATAACAATGAGAAAGGCTTTCCGAAGCTCTACAATTCAAGATCAGCAGCTTTTCGACCGCAAGAGTTTACCTATTCCGTTACAGGAGACGTATGATGTTTGTGAGCAGCCTCCACCTCTCAATATACTCACTCCTTATAGGTCAGTAAGCTAATCAGGAAGAAGGTTGGTTATTTATCTCAGACTTCACATTCAGATAGGTAGCACTCTACCTATAAATGCTAAATCCCCAAACATTCTTTATTTTACTGAGCTATACAGTAAATCTACCACTTTAGAAAACGTTTACTTTATTCACTGAGTTCCCAGAGTTCTGGCATACAAAAGATAAGGCTAGTTCAAGGGAAATGTTTTTATGAGTATTAATAATAAAAGCCAATGGCAAACGTAGTACTATGAAGGGCCAAGGAGCTGTTATTGTCGTTTAGATTTAATTTCTAATCAGATGGAAAAATAACTCAGAATTCTACCAAAAATGTTATTTTTGCTTGTCTAATCTCTTGATCTATGTGCATTAAATTTACATAATGAGTATGAAGTACAATGTATTTTAAATAAAATCTAGAATTACTATTTAGCCTCTTTTTTTTTGAAGTCCTTCCACATGATTTGCTAAATAGGTAATTTAAGATGCATAACAAATATCCTGAATAAAATGTTATTCAGATAGTTATTTGAAACTCTTTATCAGTATGCAAGGCATTTGGATATAAATAACTGTTTTACTATAAGAATGACTATTCCGTGATATTTTTGGGGTTTGGTAAGATAATAAGTAAATGAGAGTATTGGCAGAAAACCTGTATAATTTCTCTATTATAAATGATATGATTGTCCTTTCAAGCTTTTCTCTTTGGCAGAACCATTTCTAATTATTGGAATTTCTTAAAGCACTTTTAGAAAACAGTATTCACCAGAAGTTAGGAATGAAAATTGTCCAGCTGTACTTTAAATTATTAACACCAGCTTTGAAAAACATCTATTTTTCCATTGTTCTTAGTTTCTTATCTGACTTGTGAGAAATGTTCTGTTGGTGCAGTATTCTAATTTATTTTGCCACTATTTTTATACATGCTATATTTTATTCATGTGGGAGAAAAAAACATTTCAGTGAAACTATCTTTATTCTGATTCCTAAGTCTTACTAATACACATTTTAATTGATATTTTATATTTCAGAGATGATGGTAAAGAAGGCTTGAAGTTTTATACCAATCCTTCATATTTCTTTGATTTATGGAAAGAAAAAATGTTACAAGATACAGAGGATAAGAGGAAGGAAAAGAGGAAGCAGAAGGTATTACAAGAGATTCAAAAAATTGAAGTTAGTTTTCGAGTATTCGTGTTTTATTGCACATATGGAACTTTATTAGTCCTGTACTTTGACAGTTTTCTTTTATTGGGTCCAAGTAATCAACTGAAGTCTTTATAATCACGCAGAAAGATCACACTCTAATCTGAGCAGATTAGATCGCTGAAATTATACATAGATAGACTTGATTAGGTTATTGTAACAAGATGTGATAAGTGCCATAGTTGAGGTGGGCACAGAAAAGCACTTGATTTAAACAGAGAACAGGGTTGGTAAACACTTCCAACAAAGCTTATAATGTATCTCAAACAACAAATAGGAATTAAGTGGGCCAGGGAAGAGAAGGGCATTCTAGTAAGAAGGAACAAAGGAATGTTGTGCAAATATTGATAAAGTAGATTAAGCTAATATTTTTAACCATAGGACATATCCTAAATGTTTTGAAAAGGTTATTATACTCTCACTAAATTCCTGTTATCTGTCTACTATGTTTTCATTTTCCATATTTTGATAAAATTCACTTGGATTTGCTTTATTCCATGTTAATGATAACTAGAAATACAAAAGGAGGAAGCAATGTTGAATTTAGATAGAATTATGAAGGAGGCAAAGTCTATCTTCATCACCCCTGTTTCTCCTATAACTCTCTCTATTCTCCCCACCCCCACCCCCAGTTCCCCATAATGCATTCCTGTTATCTTTTTCTCCAGACGGTATTCCAGTGTTCTAGCTAGAGTTTGCAAACTGGTGACTGGCAGCCCAGAGTACACCTGCAAGCAGGGTTTTGTTTGACAACCACAGTGCTTTAAAATTTTTGGAACTGAAGTGCCTTAAGTAGACAGGCCTATCTAGTTTACTGCCTTCCCCATCTTATACCCTACTCTCCATTTATGTATGTTATCTGCTTGCCCTTTGGGCATCTGACTTTGTTGTACCTACTCTAGACCTTTCTTTGCTTTTCCCCACAATTTAAACCACTTCTTGTTTTATTTCCCAAATACCCTGTTTTCCATTGAGTGAAAGTTATAATGGGTTAATTGGATAATTGGATTTTTTTCTAATGTATTGGGTAGCCAGTTGGTTACTTCCCAGATAACATAACCTTAGTAAATTTTCAGGTTTTGGTTAGAGGTAGACAGTGCCATTAGTGGTAGAAATTTCACTCATTATAGCAAAAACTAACAGATGTGGTAACGGAGTTGGTGAATAATTTTTCACCTGAAAGGACTTTCTGACCTCAAATTTTATTACTTAGACATACTGTTTTTATCTGGTACATCAATTCCAATTAGAGGTTAAAGAAACATGAGGAGAAACTGGCTTACAAGCAAACTAGCTAAAATTTAACTCTGAATGTACAAATGAACTGTCTCTGTGTTACTTTTACTATATTATGATGACATTGTCTTTTGTAGTATTGATGTTAGGATTTATTTTGATTGTTATAACCCCTTTTAAAAACTTAGCACTTAGCATTTGGCTTTGTTTCAATACATCTGTTATAGCAGAAAAATCTAGATCGTCCTCATGAACCAGAAAAAGTGCCAAGAGCACCTCATGACAGGCGGAGAGAATGGCAGAAGCTGGCCCAAGGTCCAGAGTTGGCTGAAGATGATGCTAATCTCTTACATAAGCATATTGAAGTTGCTAATGGCCCAGCCTCTCATTTTGAAACAAGGTTTCTTTTCTTTTGTTTGTTTTCTAACAAAATTAATGATACGATACCGGCTTTATTTCTGATATCTCTATCTTTAAGTATTAGATCCTGAACTGTTGAACTGGCAGACCCTGTTATAAGTATAGAGATGGTTTTGAAACCCTGACCACTATGGCAGATTATTTTCATACTGGGGCTTTAGTCATTTTCTGAAAAGGGTGGTTGAGTAGATGATCTTCAGGGTTGTTTTAGCTTTTGTATGAAGTCTCAACTTCCTCTTCGTTTTTCAGGCAGACTCTGCTAGAATTTTATAATAGGAGACTGGACTCTGGAATAGTTTTTGAACTATTATTGACTCACTATATATAAAATAGGAATTGAGAAAGGGTTATATTTTGTTCCTTTTTCTTTCTGACATCCTTTCTATGCCGATCTCTTACTCAGACATACCAGGATTTTAAGACAAAATTACTCCCTTTTGTAAAAATACAGAATAGGTACTTTTCCTTTCTCCGAGGTTAGGGGCCCTATATAAGTAATAACCCTACCCTCACAAACATACTAACATCTTTCTATGAAGAAATTTATTTTTGTATAGTTGATTGATTATAACTATTATTTTTATATATGTAATAGTTATTGATTTTTTAATGCAAAAGAGCTTAAGGTTTTCTTTTGAATTTTGTAAATTATTGGGCCATGATAAATATTTTGGCCTATTTTAGGAGTAATATACATATAAGACACTTTATATACATTACTAAAAGACACTGAAAGAATTTAGATTTTTTTTAAAAATTAATCTATAGGCACACATTTATTTCTACTATTGTTAAGTAATTGAAGTATCTAGCTGACCTAGTAGTGTAAATACAATAATATTAACTTGCTTTGTGCATAGTTTTTAAATCCAGCTGTCCCCAGTGTGCTCTATAGTCAGTAAATATGTATGTCTTCACATGCTCAGGGTATCTAAAATTTTGCTTAAATCTCATCTTAAGACACGAGTTGCTATGTTACTCAGCGTACCAGTGTACTATTTGCTGAGTACCCTAGCACCTTTGAAAACACCAAAAAGACAAAAACGATGTAGTTAATCATGTCTGGTGTTAGGGTCAAGGAGACCTTTCTCCTTGGATATAAGACATTTGGAAGTCATTTAGGCTTAAGAGAGCAACAAGATATCCTAGTGGTAGGAAATTCCAGTTTTTATTT